AAACTTGAGATTCCTAAGCATGCCAAGATGTTTCTGCAAGTCCAACATTTGCTGACCAAAAATTAATCTTGTCCTGATAACAAGGTTGAGATTGAGAACATCCTGAGCGGTAATCATTGCTAGCAATGTGCAGAGCATGAGTGAATGAGTGAGGTATAATGGAGGGTATAGTGGAATGTAAACATGAAATGAGGCTGTTTATTGGCTTTATTGATGACTGTTGAACTTCTGTCTCTTGGTGTTACTACAGAGCATGGCTAGATGGCATGTCAAACAGCAGTGACAATGTGGAGCTTGATGTTTTGCCCTATTGGGCTAAAACCTGCAAAGGAAATTCCTTTTACTTTACTATCGAGGATAGCTGTGATAAAATCTCTTTGTGGTAAGCTTTCTTTTCTTTTAATTTTCTTTCTAGACATTTCCAAGACATTATCAATGAGCGTGAAAGGGCCAGAATGTAAATAGAGAGCATCTGGAAAATGCGTTCAGATAACCCGTGGAATACACTTGACAAACGATTTAATGTGAAAATGGAAATGCATTGAGAAGAAAGAAAGATGCCCCCATAGCTTTAGAAAAGTAGTAAAAAGAAATCGTTCATGTTTTAGAATTTATTTTTTCTTCCCCACATTTTAATTATTTCATTCACTATTTAAGGGTTTCTTTTCTTTGAGTGACAGAAAGATCAATTTGTGATAGCACGTGCTACTGTCATGCACTTCACAGTGCACACTTAAGCCGGAATAGATAGTAGTTGGTCTGGGAGTCAGTTGCCTGCTCAGACTTCCAATGGAATAAATATCTTTGTCCCTTATATATTTTATAAGCTTTCAGTTGCTTAACAGTGTGGTAACAGTAAAAACTTTAAATTTTGTCTAATAAAGTTGGGTTTCCAGATTGTGTAGAACCTAGTCACTTTTCCTTTATGGATTTACATCTCAAATCTATTCTCCTTTGGCAGAAATTACAAAACGTAAATTTGACATTTAGATTGTAGTTTTCACTGAGTTGCCTATTTGGCGGTGCCTAAAATGGAATATAACATAAAAGGCCAGGTACAGTGTGGTGCATTTGTCATAAACACGCTGTAGATACAAGTAAAACACATTCCTATTTGAACTACACTACATCTAAAACAATAGCAATACAGTTTATAAACGAGGGATTTCCATGCTGTTGGAAGCCTGTAAAGAGAATTTCACAACTATTTTTCCTGGAGACAGTTGGATGCTGAGTTGTTTGTTTTGGGCTTTTTACCCGAGGTATGGAATATGTTTAGTGTTAAGAATTTATGCGGGAAATGCGCTTTCATGGCAAGGATATCAAGAAGATGGCAGATAGCAATAATTTGTTCGTAAATTGGAAAAAATGACATTCATCTTTTTTTTCTTTTAATAAGTCTCACTTTTTTGTCTAATTGGCCCCACAGTGACACAAATACTTTTGTGTTGTTTTAGTGTTTGTTTGATTGTTAGCAGTCAGAAATGCTGGCTTCTTGTTTAGCATTGAAGTATTCTGGATTGAAGCCTGGAAGGTATTAACTTGTTCTTAACAAGAACTCCTCAAAACTATCACTAATCCCAAGGCATGAAGGATTTTTGAATTTGTTCTTTCTTTATGCTCTTCAGATCTAACCATTCTTCTACATATTGTTGCGTATTGCTCCACTGATCTGACCGACCACAGTCATTTTAAAGGACCACTGGCATTAAATAGTAAATGTTAAATACAACAACAGCAACGAAATTCCATTTATAGAGCGCCTTTCACGTCGGGAGGACGTCCCAAGGCGCTGTACAGTTGGGTCAGGACCCGCGCAGGGGGGAAATGGTCAGGGTGATACAAGTCGTCCAGCTGCAGGTTTTATACCTGAGACACATAAATAATTTGAATGTCGATACAAAGGATCTTAGTCAATTACAGCTTTTATTAGTCAGATTGTCAAATAATAGAACATAGGTCAATATCTAATATTAAATAAAGCAGAGACTAAGCAGAGAAGATGGTAGTGATCAGTTACCTTTCTCTGAGAGAGTTTGTCTGAGTGTATTGCTGGATCCCTCTCCCCAACTACCTTCTGTCTGCAGCTCATACTTATGCTCAACTTGACACGTTACCACGTGATAGTGGACAATGGGTTTTCAACCTCCAGTCAATCAGCCAGGTCTCGACTGTAACCCCCCAAAAAAAATTTCGCCAAGGCCCTGTGACCTCACTATGTTGTTCTTGTGAGCACACATATTGTTGTACCCCCGTGAGTGTATTTACTTCTGATCTCGAAGTTCTGTCAACACATTCGTCTGGCGATCTGCTGCCAATAACCACAGACTCCACTCACTCACTGTCCTTGACACTTTGTGTTGCAAGGCTGTGTATTCGTCCTTCATTCAAGTACATAAAAAACAGACAGCTGATCAATCATTTGTCTAATTTGTTAGCTCAGATTAGTTGTATTTCTATGCTTCAAAATGACTGACTCATTGTGTGAAGTGCCTTGAGAGAGTTCAATGTAACGAGGGGTAATATCAAATGCAAGTATTTTTTGGAGAAATTCTATGGTTAGCTCTGTGTGCACCCACCAGTTCCTCATCTTAAATGGGCATTGATCATGTCTGAAACAAAGAAAATGATGGCTGACTATTCAGTCATTGGAGAATTTGCAGAAGTGCCCTGTCCTTCCATCAACCAATATATAATGATAATATTAATAATAATAATAATCCTTGCATTTCATATAGTGCCTTATCACATCGTTGAGGCGTCTCAAAGAGCTTCACAAAATGTATTGTAAAGTAAAGACTGTGTATTTTGTGGGCAAAATGTGGCAGCCAACAGTAGTGTCCCACAATCAGTCATGGATTAAATGAGCAAGTTTTTTTTGAGGGATTATATCCTCTGGGAAGGCGATCCACCACGTTACGGCACAGAGATACTGGTTGCCAAGTGCAGCACATCTGTTGCCATCCCAGCTGTGGTCGGCTGACTCGACATTGAGGAGAGATATAACCTGGAGCCCTCCTGGTCTGCTTGGCACAGTACCCTTCAAATAGTTTTACAATTTACAAAAGCAATTGGAATAATAATAAAATAATAAAATAAAAATAATAAAATACTAAGGTCATTGCATCATCCAAATGAACCAAAGTAAATGAGTTTGCCAAGGGAATATTTCTTCTGTGGATTTTGATTACTTACTGCTAGGTGGCGTGCGTGTGGAGTAAGGAAACATGTCTAAGGTTTTGCCCAGCCCGCGAATTGAATCAGGGTCCTCTTGCTTGCGAGGCGAGCGCCCTAACGGTTACGTTATGAGACTCCACGTATAGATGTGAATGCTTTCCAGAAGGGGTTACTGCGCAGTGATTGGGACTGTAAACTGGCTGGGTTTTCCCTTTACTAGCCCAGAGGTACTGGTTGCCAAGTGCAGCACATCTGTTGCCGTTCCAGCTGTGCTCAGCTAACTCGACAGTGAGGGGAGAGAGAGAACTTGGAGCCGTCCTGGTCTGCTTGGCACAGTACCCTTCAAATAGTTTTGCAATTTGCAAAAGCAATTAGAAAATACTAAAGTCATTACATCATCCGAATGAACCAAAGTAAGTGAGATTACCAAGGGAATATTTCTTCTGTGGATTGTGATTTTTCTCTTTCATACTATGGATAGTGTCCAAACGGTTGTTGAAGTTTGAATTGTTAGAAATTTTCCACTTCCCCATACAAGGAAAAGAAGCAGTGTCACAAAAAAAATCGCACTTCACAGCTGAATAAAGCAGCCAGGGGATAAATCAAATAATCCCAAACTGCTAATTCACAACTTTTTAAAAATAATATCGTGTTCGAATTTGTTTAAAGTTAGTCAAGTAATCCTAAAATGCTAACTCATAACTTTTCAAAAATAATATTGTGTTTGAATTTGTTTAATAGTTGTGATGTTTTTATTTTGGCGCGGAAATGCTTCTTCAGCAGTTGAAAAAACTCAGGTGCGAATCAGAAACAGGATTAAATAACACAGTCCTGTCCATTACTTTTCATTACCACAAAGTAGTTCTATTCATTTACCAGAGGTTTTGTTAAAAGTATTTTGTTTGAAGCATCACCATGGTTTTCCCTGCTTTGCAGACAATTCTTATCGTGCACCAGCCATATCAAATGAGGACATGCTTGGTTTGGTTACATTTACATTCAAATAGCCATAACCATAGATGATTCTCTTTTTCCTCTAAGTTCCCACTGTACATATGCTTCCACTAGCCAGATACTTGTCGGAACAAAAAGAAACGAAGTCAAGCTGACGGGGCTGTGTTTCAGAAAATACTCTCTTTTATTAGTAACATAGCTCAAAGCTGACATTCTGGTTTAAAAAGAAGTTGTTTGTTTTGAAGGTACTGTACTTGTTAATGAATGTGGATTTACTGCATTCTTGTACAACATTTCTTTGCCAATTTCTAACCAGAAGATGGAATAATGTAAGAAGAAGCTAGTTGATCATTATGCAGTGTCAGAAAAAATGTTTTGGAAGTTGTTTGTAATCTGGAACCAGTTTTTTCACCACATTTTGTCTTCATTCAACACATGTTATTTCACATTTAACCAAAGAGAATCAGTCCTAGAAAGAAATACAAACACTTTTGAGCAAAGGATTACAATACACAACAAAATAAATAAAGGATTAATGTTGAAGGGATAAGCGCAGTGATGTTATTTCCAAGCTGACAAGTTGCTGCGTTCCTCAGTCAACATTATCCAGAAAAGTAAGTCATTGTCAACTGTTCTGCAAGTGGAATTTCCAGATCTTGTCATTGATATCCATTCACTTGATCTTTTTGGCTTGTTGAGCATTTATTTACATTCAGAATTCAGATAGTTAAAGTCCTAATTATTCTAAATTGTTGTAAAAGCCTTTTATTGCACAGTTGAGCAGTTAATGTTCATCCATTAACATTCCTCACAGTTGTGGAATAATGTTGCTTACTATGACCTGCTCCTGTTTTTATTCGCACCAACAGATCTCCTCCCTGGTGACGCTTCAGCTTTTAACTCGTATTGGCCACGATGATCAGCTTGATGGACTGAAGTACAAATGTACAGTGACTCTGGATTTCATCCGAGCTATTGCCAGGTACACCACTGCATCTGCTGCTGCAGTTACACAAACAAGAGCTCTCAAGCGACCTAATTAGAAACTCATTTAGCCTCTGTGGAATAGAGAAAACCTGTTTCCCCAACTAGATATTTAGTGTCTTGGGCAATAATGCACAGTATGGAAATGCATAATTTAGGGTTTCTTGCGGTTGTGCATTTTACTTCAACACTAAAAACCTAATGCCGTGTGGTGTTACACATGGATTTAAGTAGATAAGAAAATTGTGTATAGAATTGCCTTCAGGATGGAGGTTTAGTTCTCAAGTCAGGACTAATAGGAACAGTTACTGGAGAAAAATCAGTGTTACACAATATGCCTTAGTTTCTAATGGTTTAAAAAAATTGATTTACATTCTCATGACTCAGAAGAATTGCTCACAGAAAAGTCCTTTTCTTAATCATTACATTTTGTATAAAGTTTCACAGTATATAAATAATAATCTTTGCAGTTGATATAACGCTTTATCACGCCTTTGAGACGTCTTAAAGTGCTTCACAGGATATACTGTGAAGTGCAGTAACTCTGTTTTGTGGGTGAAAGCGGCAGCCAATTACCACACAGCCAAGTATTTATCTTCACTGATTTAATTCCAGTCTGACAGATGCAATCTTGTAAGCGGTAGGTTTTGCTCACACAGGGCAGAGAGAGATGTGCTGTTGGATTCTTACCACAATAAATGAATTGGCCAATTTGCTCTTCCGAGCTCTTCCTGTGCCTAAGCCTTTATGGGTTGGTTTCTCGTTCAACATTCCTAGTGTTGTTCTCTGATTGCTTCAGAGAAGATTTAAATAGCAAGTTGGAAGCGGGTTGGCTGTTTGGCTGAAAGCAGGTACAGGCAGACCTGGCCTCTAGAGAACTTATGAATGTTTGCTTGGACTTGTCTTGCAAACAGATGGAAAGGAAATTGTATTTGCATAATACCCAATTATGAGCTTAGTTCACATTTTCTGTAATGACATTACTGCTAAGTCTCATTAGGTGGTCATGCCACAAAGAGATATGTTAAGTATCTTGTTCTGTCGCATTTATAAAAAGATAAATGCCATTCTCTCTAGCCTTTCGGTATAATTTTCAAGTTGTGTTTTTGTTGAGATACTTAGAGATTAATTTTAAACACTGGTGGTATTAATTATTTCTCTCGGTCCAAAGGAATGCTTCCATGCCATTCCATCAAGTTCTCTTCTTTCAAAGAAAGTTAACAATTAAAGTTCTTGCTTATTCATTCAGCTTACATATTTAAACAGTATATCACCCGCACGTATAGAGACTAAGTAATTTGTACTTTGTGTATTCAGGTCACTTTCCCCAACTCTGCATTGTATAGCAAGGACTTATTTTGGCCAAGCTTTTGCTATAGTTATTTTCTCCCATTACCAAAAGTCAATCTCTGTTGTTTCCGATACTGGAACAAGTTGCAGTGGTCTTCGTAAGCTTTATAAGCCATTTCAGACTCCCTCATACAGTCCTGAAACTCACAGAGAAGAGACTCAAATTCAACCTGCTTTCAAAGCCAATAACTGTTGAAAATGTTCTGAACCATTACCGGCAGTTGAATAAAAGTATAGCCTAGTGACTGAAGTCTGTCTCCACTCCCTTGTGATGGCTTAACTGTCCTGATCTTAACACAATTTGGTCATTCTGCAGATCCCATGAATGAAAAAAAACATAAGATTTGTAGAGATGTCTTTTATTGAATTTATGGAATCTTCCACATGCCCTCCTAACCATCCCATAAGACCTTGCTGAGCATCTAGTGCATTTTTAATACTGTAATTGGTTAAAACTAGCCAGAGACCCATAGTCATATCTCATATAATATTTGATACCAAAGACATCTGAACGGGAATTCAACTCTCCATGACTCCCAACAACAAATCCAACATTGCTAATTCAACCCTCATTGAAGTGGTACGTGGATGTGACAGATTTGTCCTTCTTGGCTAAAGCATTTGCTACCTCCATATAACCACTTCCATATATAGAGCAGTTCAATGGGTGAATCAGACCATTCCTTCGCATGTCCCAGTGTAAATCGCGCAGGATAGTTTTTTGCTTTTAAAAAAAACACTGGATTATGCATCAGCAAACTGTGGACCCAGTTCCATCCTAAATAGATTTTTCAGGATCTCTGTTTATGGGTTTTAATTTATAAATTCATAAGGAGTTCCAGGTCAGTATTCCGTGGGATGTTCTCGTCTTAATTACTCATGTAACCCTTTCTTCATTAATTTTGAGGTGTTTATGGTTTTGCTTTATCAGTTTGTAGATAACATAGTGTAGGCTACTTTCTCTTTAGTCTTCTGTATTCTTCTATGTCTTCCATGTAGGAATACGGTGGAGGACAAGAATTTGTTAAGCACTCCGAGATGCTTCTCTGCTTGAAGCACGCTATATAAATGCAAGTTATTGTTAAATTTCAGGTTGACTCTGAATTACAGATAAAGGTTCTTGGATCTACAAACTGCACTTTTAAAGTAAACTGTGATGTCTTTTTTAAAACAAAAGTCAATTTCTTGTATTTAACTGCATGCAAATAGCATACAACCCAATGTTAATAAAAAATGTTTTGTATCGGGAACAAGTGACAACAGGTGGGAGGTTATAAGCGTACAGACAGTGAATTTATAATGTTGTAGCCAATATCAAAATGCTGCAACCAATGCATAATTAGCTGGTTAAACATGATGCATGCTTTTGGTAAGGTTGGTGTATTTAATAACCTGCTGTTTGATTTTTTTTCAGGACTGTGAATTTCGATATAGTGAGGTACTTGTATGATTTTGTGTGACACCAGATGCACAGCCATATGGATGCAGCAGGCGATGATCAATGCTTTTGCACCAAGTCACACTGATTCATCTATTCAGCTTATAAGAGACAGAGGCATTTTGGCTCCATTGGATTTTCCCAAGCAGGTGTTGGCACAGTGTGGGATTTAACGAAAAATATCTTGATTGGTCAGAATGGATCTTTAGATTGAACTATTTGCCAAAGACTCTGGAGTATTTTGAAGCTATGTGTTAATTATTAACAGCAGGAATCCAGCACAATCTGTTCCAAAATAATAACATTGCAGTAGCACTAAAAGCTGCCTGAAATGTATTTACTTGAAAGTCTTCTTTCGTGAAGTGGCCTTCTCTCAGAATGTGGTTGCGGTACACATTTGTGGGTGTGTGTGTGACCATTTTTTCACTTTTTGAATTGTCTGCTGCAATTTGGAATCCCCAAGAGATCTTGCAGTCATTATTCACGCTGAAAGCCATTTCTTCTCATTTGTCAATGTGCATATAGAAATATGCCTGTGGTATATTGCGCCTTTTTGATATTCAATTGTAAGTCCCAAAAAAGAATATTCTTTATGTGGAGGAAAGTAAACGCCATGTAAAACACGTTATGTGTCTTGCAACCAGCCTTTTATACTCATTACCAGTCTATAGGTTTATTTCCGTCTGCCACTGGGTCGCACATTTCACAATGAAGATTTTTTAAACCCAGTGTTGATATGATGATCCTGAAGGTTGTCTGTTAGCTTTAATTCTGCAGGAATTCGGTCTCATGGTACAATTAACCACTGACCATGTTGCTCTGTTGCTGATTTTAAATGTGAAAGGGAATTACAATACTGCTGATTAGCACAGAGAACTGAATAAATGTGTCTTGACGCACACCTTCTGTGCTTGATATTGCTTCTTTCTCCCTGGTCAATTGGCATTTTCCCAACGACTGTTGGGGGCAGCTATTTCGAAGAGGATAGAGCTTTAGCGATTAAAAACCTGAATGCTGAAAATCTGAAATAAAAAGAAGAATTGCTGAAATACACGCCAGGTTGATTAACATTTCAAATAGCATGGCTTAAAGATTCATCGGAATAGAATTACACACTGGTAAGAAATGTAAAGAATGAATTGAGTCCACATCAAGACTCGATTGCTTCATATGTAAGTACATTGCCTGCACTGATGATGACTTGAGGAAAGGCACACATGAAACATATTTAATTGTATTATTTCACCACCCCCGATAACTTTAGCAGATAAAAATGAGAGGTGATGCAAGCAAATGGATGGCTTGTGGGTGTGTCAGTGTTTGCGACTGGCAGCTTGTCAACCAAATATGTTTCAATCTCAACTGACTTAAAAGGTTTACCTACTGAGTCTCTCTGTTTGTCGTCTGACTGAAATTAGCTGTTTTTTTAACCTGTGCATCCAGTGAGAAATAAAGGAATGTATTATTGCTGTATGGCTGTGTATTTTTACATATATTTAAGTGTGGGATAGTTGGGTTGCTCATCTTTGAACTGCCCCTCAATACGGGGACACTGCCCTGCGTGAGAGGCGCTATATAAATGCAAGTTGTTGTTACAGGGTGTGCTGATGACTATATGGTAAGTGAACATTTACAATCATTAGTGGATTTTGATATACTCTTGCCACCGGATTAAGTCGTTTTATTAGTAACAGTCTTTGAATAAATTGACAATACGAATAGTATCTGATATAAACGGCTGTAGAAAGCGAACATTGATAGTTACCACTCTTATCTACTTTCTCCATGTTTCTTTATCCTTTCATTTATTTGTGTAAAACCTGCTTGCTTTAGAAACTAATCCCCTTTTGCCTGAAGGATCAACAGAGGATATGCTCCTGTCAAAATTGGGAAGAGAAAAAATCTTTCATGTTTTACAAATGTTAATTTTTTTTATCTATTCATGAAATAAAAACCTGGGTATTTTCAGGACATGTTTGGGGTTTGGGTGCCAATTTTTCGGTTAGAAAATTAGATGGGAGGGAATTTGACACAAATAAAACCAATGTTTTTAATATCATAATATAAAGTAAATCCATGCCTTACTGGGCTCCGGATATCCGGAATTCAAACCTAGCAGACCAGCTCTGAAACCAAATTTTAAAAGAACTTTCGTGGGGAAAAAATCTCCACGGGCCTGAATGAAAACTCCCCCCAACCCAAGATAGAAAGGTTGTGCTTTCAGCTACTACGCCCGGAACTCTGGAGCGCTCTGAGATGCTTAACAGTGACTCCTACGCGGAGGGCATTGTATAAGTGCAAGTTGTTGTTATTGTATTGACTGTCGGCGAACTGTGGCAGCTGATTTGTGCCCAGCAAAGTCCCATAAACAGCTATGAAGTGAATGACCAGGTTTATCTGGGATTGTTCGCCAAGACATTGGGAGAATCTCCCTTCTCTTTTCGGAATAGTGCCATGGGATCTTTAACTCCACCTGAACAGGTTTAATGTCTCATCCAAAGCATGCATCAAATCAGGGAGACAAGTGATTTTTGGACAAATCAGTTTTTTTTAAAAAAAAAATAAGGCTTTATTGGTCTTACAAAGAAAATCTATGGAAATAAGGCAGGTTAAAATTTAAATGATGCCAAATTTACTTAAATGATCATAAAGTACAAATTTATAGTGCACCTTTCAGGTCAGGACTGCTGTCTGTGCACCCAAGCTGGGGGTGGGAACCAAAGGATGTGGGGAGGGGAAAGATGACCGAAAGAGCAGCTACAAAAGATACGTCTTGAGGCTAGTAAGCTCGCAAGATCCCTCCAGTTTTTAGAACTGATGTTCATTGGAAAAAATACATTTATTTTGTGAACTCTAGTGTCATAATAACTAGCATTTGATGTAGCGTTTTACTGTCTCAAAGCGCTTTACAGAGTTTTTCTGTGTATTTGTAGGTGGAAGTGGCAGCCGATTTACACCCAGCAGGTTCCCCTAAAACAGCCATGAAGTGAACAGCCAATTTTTTTTATATCGGGGAGTTATATTGATCAGGATACTAGGATAAGCTCTCTTCTCAATAGTGCTATTGGTATTTAATGTCCACCTGAACAGGCAGACAGGACCTTGGTTTAATGTCTCATCTGAAGGACAGCACCTCCCAACAGTTCAGTGCTCCCCTAGCAATGTATGGAAATGTTAGCCTAGATTACAACCTCAAAGGAAACTGTTTTGTACTCAACTAAAACAACAACAAGAACAAGATTACATTTACCCAGCCCCAAAAATTGTGCAATCGGAAAGCTTGAGCAAATTCCCATTTTGATGATTTACATGTTATTTGCTTTATTCTACGTCTTGACTTGAAAATCTGTCTCACAGTACAACCTTGCAATCTCATATTTCTTATCTCAGATATTAGTGTGCCCCCGGGGAAGAGGTAGTTCTGTAAAGTAGCTTTATCCTGTCTGAAATGAAGGCCGGGCGTCTCGCTCAAAAGATTTAAACCTCATATATCATTTTAAAAATAATATTCTTGTGGCTCCATAAAATGGTGCCAAACATCTTTCTAAAAATTCTTCACTGAATGTAAATGAAAAATTTACTCGAGATGAGTGACAGATGGTTCAATAATATGGGTATGTATCTTTCAATTCTCGTTCCTTGAAACAAGCTTGTTTCACGATCCGGTTTGAACTTGTACTATCGTGTGCTGTTTGGGCGCAGAATGTTGGCTCTCTGGTTTGATAGCGAATACAAGCGCGGGCTAATTGAATTGAATTGAGAGCGTTCCTGGGTACTTCATCATTCTTTGACAATGTCAGAAACACTCAGCTCTAGGAGTGTCATTCCAATCCATGCAATGTAAGAGTTAATGAAGGTCTGTTGTCAGAGCTGCCTCTTGGGAGAAAGGGTAAAAGCATGGTTGAATGAACCGGATTATTCCTCCCCCACCTACCCCCCCTACCCCCCCCCCCCCCCGAATCTTGTTTGGGATTTCTTCACTTGCTGTAAACCACAGTACGCCCCATTACTTTTATCTACCTGTACCTAATTATAGTATTTAACTTTGTCACAAGTCTTGCAAGGAAATCTCCGGTTCATTTTAGAATCTGTTTTGTTACAAACTCTCAACTAGATCATTCCTGTTTCGCACAGAATGTAATTTGAGCAGTGTTTGTTAGAAGTATATATGTGGTTGTATCTTCGGTTTGAACTTGGCAGCATAAAAGTGAGTAGGCAAAAGCCACTAATAACATACAGTCGTATACATTTACTTGCTTTGGGACCACATTTTGTGACGTGCAGTACAGTGATTTTATTGTCCAACTGTTTCAAATGGGCTTCGGTGAACGTGGAAATGAGTTTAATTTTGGCTAAACTATCGCATTGTTGCCTTCAGTAGTTGAAATGGTCAATGGTCTGAAACAGTTTCTCTGACTTTTGCATTTAAAATCATTCGTTTTAAGATAGGGTCAGAAATATCTCCATGGTTGCTCGAATATGTATATATCCATGTTTCTGTTTTTAATCATATATAGATAATTCGATTACGATTGGTAACTAGGAGTTCATATCCCAACATATCTGTTCATCCCTAGAATTTGTACTGGAAACCATAACATCATCACCCACCTCCAAAATCAACAAGAGGTACGAACAAGCTTTCCAAGTTCCCTTGCAAGCCGTCAAACAGCTCCTTCTAAGCGAGTGAAAAAACTTGAATGTCTTCAGTCAATCTTTATATTTAAATACGAGGCAGTAATCAACATAATTCCTCATGGCTACTAAATAAACTCGGTGTGTTTTTCAGTACAATAAATCGCCATTCGCTGGGAGTTCATTGATGAAACTAATGATTTATTGAGTAGCTTTTGATGGTTAGTAGATGTTGCTTGTGCTCTAGCAACCACTAACTCCCAAGATTAATGAAATAACAAACAAAGCACTGTTACAGCATCTGTCATTTTGGTGCTAAGTATTGTCAATATAGTGCAACCCCTCCGGGCAGAAGCGTTTAGGAAAAAATATTGTATTTTCTTCTCTAAAGGGATAATGATCGAAAATATAATTGTTTTTAGGGAAGTTGCTTTCAGGAGAAGGAAGATTTGGAGATAAAGCACCGACTGTCACAACAAGTAGCATTGTGGAACATCTGTGCAAATTATAATAATAATAATAATCTTGCATTTGATAAAGCCCCTTAACACGTTGTTTAGACATCTCAAAGCGCTTTGCAGAATATACCTTAAAGTGAATTGACTGTATATTTTGTGGGCGAAACGCAGCAGCCAATTGTGCACAGCAGTGTCCCACAAACAGTTGTGTATTGAGTGACCAAATTATTATTATTATTTTAAGGAATTATTACCCTGGAAAGCAATCTGACAATTGACTTAACTGGCTTCCAACTTACTGCTAGGTAAACAGAGGAGTGTGGAGTAAGGAAACTTGCCCATAACGACTCAACTGGAAGAACAAAAGCACTGTATCCTGCAATTCACTAGCAGGGTTTCTTGTAGTATTCAGTGGAGTGGGTGACAAGAGAAATTGAGAAAGAAGATGAATTTATGTGTCTGTGAAATGGAGAGCATCATTCGACATCAAACACAAATTCCAATTTCAAACCAATTTGAAAATCATGAATTGTTAAGCCTCAATTCAGTGTAAATCTGAAATGTAGTGGCAGAATCCTAATGCAGTCCACAGCAGTTAATGGAAATGTTCAGTTAATTGGTCCCACATCAATTAAATTCCCATACATTCTGCAGTATTTACCAGATGACACAAGTGAATAGATGGACTCCCATGGGGAGAATGACCCATTAAGTGTTAGGGAGAAACGATGGACCCAGGAAATGGTTAAGAATGTCTTTGCCTTTGGTCCAACTGGATAAAACACACAAACGAAAGAACACTCTGCTTCTGTTGTTCTGTTTTGTTGGTTACTTGCCATGTTGGTGAAATAGGATAACCGAATAACGTATCCACGAAAGCTCCTCTTGCCAAATGTTTTTCTTTTTTGTGTAAAACGAAAGCTAAGCTATTGTATTTCATTGATTTTGGTTTCGAGCTTTCAAATCATGGAGACAAGTTGGCCGAAGGAAATTTTCATGAGTAGTCCAGTTGCGTTGAAAGGTTTGACCGTGAAAGGTGTAATGACATTGGGGTAAACCTAGTTGCTGTGAGGTTAAAGTTCTGTTGACTCGGTATTAATAATTATCATAATATTGACCGTCCTCCCAATCTCCTTCCTCCTTCCCTCCCTCCCTCCCTCCCTCCCTCCACCACGGAACAAACGCTGAACTTTAAATTAATTTGTCAACTTGTTCCATCTAGGTTAACTAACGGTTTGGGGGAGATTATTAACTCCTCATATACTGGTGGGTGCTTCTTTAGCACATGTTAAATCTTTCTCCAAGCCCGTTGAAAAAGGTGAGCATCATTCAATAGCTTGTACAGTCAAAATCTTACACAGTGTAATTACATTGTGTTAATCGTCCCTGTGGAGAGGACTAACACAACACTTGCTAGATTTTATGTGTATACTGTAATCTTTTGCAGTTTATCATCTAATTTTAAAAGGGGAGAGATAAAACTGGACATTATTACACCGACGTCTCAAAGTGCTTTGCAGCAATCATTGTCAAGTGTAGCGAGCGTGGTTTTTTTGTGTGAAAACGAAAGCACAGGCAATTCCGGTAATGCGGAGATTTTATTTTTGATGAATAAAGTATTTTTCCAAATCCACAATTATTGCTTCGGTTTAAGCTGTCTTATGTCACTTCAGCAAAACCTGGAATTTGGAGTGCTTTCAGGCGATTGTGTGTAAATAAAGCACGCTGTAGAATTTTTCTTAACCAGGGTAGAATTAAACCATTAATTATGCTGAAAAGGGAGCCAGGGCTTTGGTGGTCAGTACTTCAGAACTGAAACAGCGTTTAAGCTGCCTCTCAGTGAGTGTCCTTGTGCTAACCATGTTCGATGCTTTGCTCTTCAGATTTTGTCATTTATCCCTCCAGTAACATGACGGGGCGTAAATAAGAGCGGATTCCAGCTTTTGAGCAGTCAATCAAGGAGAATGGTTTCTTCAGCCTGATGTTAATTTGAGAAGGTGGAGTTTTTCAGGCACTCCAGTGAAGGCAGCAGGGGAAATAAATTATTTCCAGTCGCTGCATTTCATGCTTGATCGGCTCCCGGTTCCAGTCAGTCAGTGCAGTGCTCCAACTGTAAAAGGTGCGGTGAGACAGGTTTTGCCCTCCTGAAACAAAGTTAACAAAAAAAAACAGGACAAGGCTGGAAGGCACGTGGGAGGGGTGCCGGAAAGTGGAATGGAATATGCTCTGAGCGAGATGTGTTTGAGAGCTGTATTGCAGCGCATGAAGCTGATGTATTAGAATGCAGTAGAAACAGCTGACAGCTGGCAGTTTCTACAGTTCCTGGCTTATGACTTTCCCAACAGAAGCTTCCTGACATTAAACTTGTAATCTCTTTAGTACAGCACGGGGAGGAAAAAAGAACTCTCATTCACAAGAGTTGTCTTCCTTCCCAACGAGAGGGAATACGGAGAGGAGAGGAAGAGAGAAAACTATGGATAAAAAGAACTGCTTTAACACTTGGACTTTGCTGCTTCTGGTTGGAATATTGTCGCCAGATCTCGTGCGTGGTTCTGGGGGGTTCTCTCCGAGGTTTGCCCCGTTCTTCTTCCTGTGCACCCATCACGGAGAACTGGAGGGCGACGGGGAGCAGGGAGAGGTGCTGATGTCGCTTCACATTGCGGGAAACCCAGGGTATTATGTATCTGGTCAAGAATATCACGGTAGGTTTTTGTACCAAAATTTTCTAAGCTTTTATAAATTTTATAACAGTACATAGGTAGTTCGGGACATATGTGCAAGCGACTGCCAGGAAGGTGGAAGGCGAACTAGATGGACTTTGGTCTTTTTTTCTTCTAGCATTTCCTATGTTCTTATAAGCAACTTCTTTGAGTAATGGGGCAGGGATAAGGTGTCCTACTTTTAGTTTTGAAATACTGTGGGGTTTTTTTTCTTTCCGGGATTGACAACTGAAATTTGTTTCAGGGGAAAACAAGTTTCTGCCTTTTCGCACACCAGTATGATGTGACACATTAGTACAAAGTTTTTTTAAAAAGTTAATTGAAAAAAAACATTCGATGCGTACGTCTTGTTACTCCACATTTTGTCTTGCAAGAACTTCTTTGTTTTTATACCAGATATTGGAGTTTAATGTTGGAGTGCCAAATGTTTACAGTATATATATATATTAAAAAAAGAGCAAAATGAGAAATGGATCCACTTTATGATGATTTATCTATCCATCAGCGAGCTTGCTGATGTGAATTATGAAGACAAATTAATCTTTGGGCATTTCCTCCTTTGTTTTGAACCAATTCTTTCTCTGCTAAAAAACCTCTGTCCTTGATAGTGCCCGAATCAGTGCTCGGGTATGTTAAAGTAAGCTCTCAGGCTTGTACAAGCTTTGTGTGTGGGCTTATCTTGAGTGCAGAAACCCTCTGCTGGCACAGCTGCAGGTCCTTGTGTACGCCTTAAAATGAAGTGGATGCATTTCTTATGTGAGCGTACGCTCGCAGGTCACTTTTATTCCGTGCAGAGTCTTCACAGCCAGACGGGGGACGCTTTAGAGTGAGCTGCACAGTTTCCCCTTTGTACATGTGTGAATTACTGGCGGTCTGCTCCCCGTGAGCCAAAAGTGAGAGAGTTCAGGTCAGCCGAGCATGGGGTTCAATTAACATGGATAAAAACAGCTTGACATCAGCAGTAGGAAGCAAAAAGTGTCTTGCAGCAACACTCCCAGAACAACAATAAAGACAGATTGGGCTGAAAGTGAATGGGGTTACGTTCGAAGTCTGTAGTGATTTTTGTTTTTTTTTAAAAAAGTGCAAATGTTTCAACGTTTTGAAGTGTGCAAATAGAAGCTTTTTATTTTTGGTTTCTGCTCGTCTGAACATGATGGGAGTCAGACAAGTGCTTGTGCTTGAGCTGACGGGTTAACCAATTAAATTCTCTCCGACAATTGTTCATCCACTGAGACTAATTAGGAGGAGATGTCTATAATATGAAGATTTTTCCTGAAAAGGCTGCAGTATATTGTTTTAAAGGATGCATGTGTGTTGTGTTTCGTGTTCAATTAGGGCCATAAAATTGTGGAGGGAAAATACACAGAATCATATTATGAAATCCTCCCATTTGCTCTCTGTGTTTCCATTCAGCCACTAAGAGTAACACAATGCTAGCGTACGGGCAGTGGTACTCAAGGAAATAGTTAACAAAGCTGCACAACCTATAACTGGCAATCGACCAAACTTCAACTAAACAAGTACAGTGACAAGTTTTTTTCTTGTGAGTGAATGGACTCCAAAGTATAGTTTAATAGTAACATTCTCTTTGTTGAGGTCCACAATCTACTGTTTTATTTTATAAAGAGAGATTGGCTTTTCGAACACTTTAATTAATGCAACTTTAAATGTTATGATTACTAATAAGCTTGTGTCATCTGTTAATCCTTTCACATATGTAAAAATATAGATGGAGGCAAGCCATTCAGGTACTGACGATGTAAATCAGAACAAAAATGTGAGTTGCTGTATTGGGACTTTTGTGTGAATGGCTATAAACCACAAAATGAGCGAGCTACTTGCTAGGAGAAGAATAATTGATGTGAACTTGGGAAATAAATGTGGATTCCTGTAGCTTATTGGTTAAAGCACTCGCCTCACAAGTGAGAGGACATCTAGGTTCGAATCCTGAGCAGGATGAAACGTTAGGCAAGTTTTCTTACCCCACACGCCTCCGTTTACCTACCAGTAAAGTAGGAACCCAGTTGTTAGTTGATTGGCGGATCGCTTTTCCAGGGATAATAATCCCTTCAAAAAAATAATAATTTGGTCACTCAATCCACGACTATTTGTGTGACACTGCTGTGCACAATTGTCTGCTGCGTTTCGCCCGCACAGTCAGTCCACTTTACAATGTATTCGATAAAGCCCTTTAAGACATCTTAAGGGTATGGTAGGTGCTATATCAAATGGGAGGATTATTACTATTATTATTAGACTTGATTTGCAGCCATCAAAGTTTCTGTGCAGTGATTTGAGAGTTAAAAATCATGTGCAGTATGCAGCTACTGCTGCAAGATGTCCCTACTATGCTGTATCTATGAAGGGCAAAAAGGTTTATAGTGTAGTTAAACATACTTGGTCTTTACGGGTAAGTATAATTTGGGGACTAAACTGATGAAATTCTGAAACAAAGCAGCTTAAAATAATGAAAATATTGCTCCCACTGGGGAGAAGAGAGTAGCTTCTGTTTTCTTTCACTGCTGTCAATCGCACTGCATGAACAGTTCTGTTACAAAGTGCATCCGACGGTATTGCCAGTAGCAAACGATTCAAATATCAGAGGTTGAGGTGGGGATGGGTGGGGTAAGGAAAATGACCTTTTCTGTGTTTCTGCCAGTGCTACTTGAACTATGCAATCCTGTCCCTCTGATTTCTTCTTCACTTTGTTCTAAAAGAATAAATAATAATAATAATCTTTGCATTTGATATAGCCCCTTAACATGTCTTTGAGATGCCTCTAAATGCTTCGCAGAATATACTGTAAAGTGAATTGACTGTGGGAGAAACGTGGCAGCCAATTACTCACAGCAGCGTCCCACAGACGGTCGTGGATTGAGGATGATCCTGTATGATAAGGAACTAACTGTAAAGGGAAACGGAAGAGATAATGAACGTAATGGTTGTGTTGTCCTGTCCAGGCATTTTCTAATAAACGTATAACGAAGTAACCAAATCAAATAGCCTCCTCTTCACCCACTGAATCCAAGAAAAAAAGATCCGGTCGGTGTGATAAGTAGCATGTCGGATTGCCTAACACGTACTCGCAGGAATTAGGTAAGCAGGTTGCTGCCCTTCTGGGACAGACCTCATATTCCATTCCAAACACGAGGTTTGGATATTTTTTAAGCACGGTCATGGGTTTCAGCATGTGTCAGACATCCGGCTGATTAAAATAAAAGTACTAACTCGCATACACCTTGGTTTGACATAGGTTAGAGTTCCTGCTCTGGAGTGCAGCATTGTCAAAGAGACATCACAAGAAAGACTGGGTATATTGGAGGTCGGTTCGTTTCCTGGGGCCTCTTGTGTGCCTGTCACCAGCCAAATCAGCAACGGTAGATAACAGCTCACCATCAGCCTCTTCTCTCTCGTCTCAGGTGATGGATGACCCAACAGGCTCCAGAGGGGAGGGAAAAACTGCACAAACATACAATACATGAGGGTTCATGCTGTGATGCTGAATGATTGGTGTATTCCTGGCACTGTGTGCAATCAACGTGTTGCGAAGAGAAAGCAACAGTACAATTCTCACATCCCCAAGTGAGTCAGACGGTAGATCGTTCTTCGGGCTGGACTTTGATTTCCCTGGGCTTGGCCTTGTTCGGTGCATCAAAATATTTCCCACTGTCAAAGCAGCCCTGAGACTCAATGAACATAATAGAGCTGGGTTGTGTGTGGCTCCATTGTAACTAGCACCTTCCTCAGCTACTGACTTGAATGCACCGATAAATAAAACAACAGCGACTTATTACAGACAGCCTGCTGTTTGTTCACGGCAGTCGAAAAATTATCTGTCAGATGTAGTGTAGAGATATTTGTTTTGTGACCCATTTCTTGCAGTCTGTGTAGTGGGTCAGGCCAGATGATTGATGCTTCTGAAATTCAGATATTCAATGTTGAATGTCGTATGTTTTATCCTGCGTCTGTTCTTGCAATGCCCCTACAGGACTGAAGTTAGATTGTGATGTTTCAACTTACGTATGGTTGCATCGTGTGTTACTCGCTGGCTTGTCAACATGAGGGGGAGCAGATTGCCATAATACACTATCGCTGCTCCTGATATCCCACAGTGAAAGTACTGCCTCCCTACCTTAGTGAATCTAATTGCTGAGGACGTAGAACAATTTCAGGTAGATTGAACACGACTGTTTGCGGGACACTGCTGTGCGCAATGGGCTGCCACGTTTCGCCCACAACATACAGCCAATTGCCTTTACAGTATATTTTGTGAAGCGCTTTGAGATGTCTCGAAAACGTGATACGGCGCTATATCAAATGCAAGGATTATTATTATAATTGTATTATTTCCCTCTTTCTTCCAATGAATAAAGAGGTCATTACCGTGGAGAATAACAGCGGGAAGAAATGAGACTGCGTGGATCTAACGCTCTGGTTATAAATACCGTACTATGTGGTGTGTAGTCTTGTCACTATGAACGTCTTGTGACTAGAAAGCAACAAAACAATTCTCACATCCTGAGATGTGTCTGATTTTTTTGGATTACCCTTTATTAAAAAAACATTTACTGTGAATGCGTTTCGACGGAAAGTAGTTTTCTCCTGGTGCAAGCCATCAAACGGAAAATAAGCTCTTGAAATCCAATATATTATTTAAAGAAATGTTTTTTCTAGGAACTGTAGTTTCAGTGCATTTCACTCTACTTTCCCCTGCATTTCCCAAGTGCCTCATCTCTAGAAGTGAGCTTGAATTGTGTGACAAGGTGAGAGTTGTTGTCATGGCGTCTTGTAAACTTTAGTATCTTGCCAGTAAAAAGTAAATGTTTTCACAATACAGATCCAGTAAGGTTTAATTACTGAATCTATATGGTAAGGAACCATCCTTTGGATGCGACAAGGTCCCATCTACCTGTTGAGGTGGGTGTTAAAGATCGCAATGCACTATTCAAAAAGAGAAGGGAGTTTTTCTCTCTCCTGGTGTC